TTCGTGCCGTGGGTGCGCGAGGAGTACATCTGGTGGACAGTGCTGCCCGCTTGGGAGGGGCGCGGGGGAGCGCGCGCGGAGGAGTGGGAGAGGGACGGGAAGAAACTGGGAGGAGGAAGAGGCGGAGGAGAGGGAGGAGAGGGAGGAGGAGGAGGAGGGGAGGGGAGGGGGTGGAGGAGCGGCACGGTTCTCCTGGATGATTTCAATCTGGTGGAGGGGCAGCGATGCAATCTGGTGGAGGGGCAGCGATGCAATCTGGTGGAGGGGCAGCGATGCAATCTGGTGGAGGGGCAGCGATGCAATCTGGTGGAGGGGCAGCGATGCAATCTGGTGGAGGGGCAGCGATGCAATCTGGTGGAGGGGCAGCGATGCAATCTGGTGGAGGGGCAGCGATGCAATCTGGTGGAGGGGCAGCGATGCAATCTGGTGGAGGAGCAGCGATGCAATCTGGTGGAGGGGCACCGATGCAATCTGGTGCGCTGCCACGCGGAGCAGAGATGGGGGTGTCAGGAATACTAGGAGTGGGGCCTAGGCTTAGTAGCCTAGGCCCACACTAGGAGGTAGTAGGTTGTGCCCTAGGACTAGGGTTTGTGGTATACGAAGGAGAATTGTGAGAATGAGGTGGTTGAACTAGCAAGAGTTGGGATACAAGTAGGAAACCCTAAAGGGTTGTACTCACTGTTGAGTACCCCACTGCAGGCTAGACAAGTAACATTCTGACACACCCCCATAGCCAAAGTGGGGTGCAATCAGCAGAGCAAGCAAAGTAGAACAAGCTCAGGGTGGATCACAATGTCACCACACATTCTGAGCACAAGTTCAAGAAGCAACAGTTTAAAGTTCACAACTATGAGCAAAGCTAGTGGTAGTCACAACGGGCAAGTGAGGAGGAGGAGAGACTGTGAGGGGAGAGAAGATAGGAGACGTCGTTTGGAGCTGCAGTCACATGGCGGCTGACTCAGATAACTGGTGCAGCACAAGCTCACAAAGGAGCACCCCGGAATACAGGAGTAACAGGCTCTGCAGCTGCGGCAGGAGCATCGGACCCACGGGCGACTGGTGTAGCACTCACTCTGCGCTACCGAGACAGAGCCCCGGACTTCAGGTGCTGCAGACGACAAGACGGCAGCCTCGGCTCAACCTCCCCCAACTGTCCCACACACCCCCCACACACCCACTGCTTCACCCCTAGCTCCACTCCCCCTTCACTCCTGAAACCCTAAACCCTCGGCTCCCACACATCCACCCCCCTCAGCGGCAGCTGCAGCAGTGGGAGACGAGGAAGGAGGAGGAGGAGGAAAGGGGCGACGCACACGGAGCACCCCCACACCCGCCACCCCCACACCCCTTGTGGTGGGGGGGGGGGGGAGGGGGGGGCAGAGCAGAACAGTGCGCACGAGGGCGCGGGCAGCAGCAGAGCACACGAGGGCGCAGACAGTAGCAGAGCGCACGAGGGCGCGGGCACGAGGCACAGGCACAGGCACAGGCACAGGCACAGGCAGGTAGGTAGGTAGGCACGAGGCTCGAGGCACAAGGCACGAGCAGGCACAGGCACAGGCACAGGCACAGGCACAGGCACAGGCACAGGCACAGGCACAGGCAGGTAGGTAGTAGGCTCGAGGCACAAGGCACGAGCAGGCACAGGCACAGGCACAGGCACAGGCAGAGGCACAGGCACAGGCACAGGCACAGGTAGGTAGGTAGTAGGCTCGAGGCACAAGGCACGAGCAGGCACAGGCACAGGCACAGGCACAGGCAGAGGCACAGGCACAGGCACAGGCACAGGCAGGTAGGTAGTAGGCTCGAGGCACAAGGCACGAGCAGGCACAGGCACAGGCACAGGCAGAGGCACAGGCACAGGCACAGGCAGGTAGGTAGTAGGCTCGAGGCACAAGGCACGAGCAGGCACAGGCACAGGCACAGGCACAGGCACAGGCACAGGTAGGTAGGTAGTAGGCTCGAGGGACAAGGCACGGGCAGCACAGGCACGGGCAGCATCGGGCAGCAGCAGAGCGTACCAGGTCCAGGGGCGGCTTCTGAGGTCCAGGGGCGGCTGCTGCAGGGGCGGCTGCTCCAGGGGCGGCTGCTGCAGTTGCTGGCGGCTCCAGGGGCGGCTGCTGCAGGTGCGGGCGGCTCCAGGGGCTGCTGCTGCAGGTGCTGGCGGCTCCAGAGGCTGCTGCTGCAGTTGCTGGCGGCTCCAGGGGCTGCTGCAGCAGTTGCGGGCGGCTCCAGGGGCTGCTGCTGCAGGTGCTGGCGGCTCCAGGGGCTGCTGCTGCAGGTGCTGGCGGCTCCAGGGGCTGCTGCTGCAGTTGCGGGCGGCTCCAGGGGCTGCTGCTGCAGTGGCGGGCGGCTCGAGGCGCGCCCTGGCCTGGCGCAGTCCGTACGGGCCGCGCGCGGGCCTGGCGCAGCCCGTACGGGCCGCGCGCGGGCCTGGCGCAGCCCGTACGGGCCGCGCGCAGGCTGGACGGGCCGCGCGCGGGCCCTACGGAGGTCGCGCGGGCCACGACGGGCGACGGGGGGCGACGCGCGGGTCCCCGTCGCCCGTCGCAGCTCCTCCCGGGGGCGACTCGCGGAGTGACGGGGCAGAAAGCCGCCGCGCGCCTCGGGGCGCACGGCGGGCAGAAAACCGCCGCGCGCCTCGGGGCGCACGGCGGGCAGAAAACCGCCGCACGCTCCGAGCGCGCGGCGGGATGAAAAATTAGGGTTTCGCCGCCGCGCACCACGGGGCGCGCGGCGGACAGTACGGCAGCGGAAGCAGGTGGTGGGCCCATGGAGGTAAGCGGCAGGAACGTACTCGCTCTAGATACCATGTCAGGAATACTAGGAGTGGGGCCTAGGCTTAGTAGCCTAGGCCCACACTAGGAGGTAGTAGGTTGTGCCCTAGGACTAGGGTTTGTGGTATACGAAGGAGAATTGTGAGAATGAGGTGGTTGAACTAGCAAGAGTTGGGATACAAGTAGGAAACCCTAAAGGGTTGTACTCACTGTTGAGTACCCCACTGCAGGCTAGACAAGTAACATTCTGACAGGGGGTTGGGAGGAAGGGGGCACGCGGAGGTGAGATGGGTTAGTGCGGGTGTAAGGACGGTGCAAGGAGGTGTGTGCACTGGTTATGGTTGCTCCATCACCCCGTGCTCTTCCTCCTCACACCAACCCATCCCATTGCTCCACATGCCAACACATCTCCCAGCGTCCCCAAACCCCTCTCACTCTCTCGCCCCTCACCCACACTCCTCCTCTCCTCCCCCTTCCGTAATCCTTTTCCCTCCAAATCCCCCGTTTCCCACAACCCTTCCCGCAACCGCCAGACCGCCTCGGTGTTAAAAACGCATCTTCCATTCCCCGCCTCCCCCCACGTGCCCTCCTCGTGGAACTCGTCTCTCTACGCCCTCGCCTTCTCGCCTCGCTCACCACTCTACTGCACCACCAGCTGTGACGACCGCGCGTGGCTGCGCTGGGTGCCCCCGCGAGCAGAGGACCTGCGCTGCGCTTGCCCGAGGAGCTGCCCGTGCTCATGAAGTTCACGCATACAGTGTGCCTTGGCCGCCTGCAACCGCTGGTGGGGGGGGTGAAAGAGTGTGTACTGTGTTTGAGTTGAGATGGAGTGCCCGAGAAGTTCACGCAGAAGCTGATGTACTGTGCTCATCAAGTTCACCCACACCGTGTGCCTTGGCCGCCTGCAACCGCTGCTGGGTGTGCGTGAGCATGAGCGGTGGCTGCGGGTGCGAGTGTGGGTGTGGTGTAGAAATGTGGGGTGAGTGTGGGGTGTTGAGAGAGAGAGAGAGAGAGAGAGAGAGAGAGAGAGAGAGAGAGAGAGAGAGAGAGAGAGAGAGAGAGAGAGAGAGAGAGAGAGAGAGAGAGAGAGAGAGCAACCTTAGCCCTCTGCCCTCTGCCTTCTCCCTCTGCCCTCTGCCCTCCGTGCCTATTTAAGGGCCCCTGCTGGCTCTCTTTGCTCATTTTTTCGTGTGGGTTCTCTTTTCCAGCGGCTCAGAGCGAGAGAGAGAGAGAGAGCAACCTTAGCCCTCTGCCCTCTGCCTTCTCCCTCTGCCCTCTGCCCTCCGTGCCTATTTAAGGGCCCCTGCTGGCTCTCTTTGCTCATTATTTCGTGTGGGTTCTCTTTTCCAGCGGCTCGGAGCGAGAGAGAGAGAGAGAGAGAGAGAGAGCAACCTTAGCCCTCTGCCCTCTGCCTTCTCCCTCTGCCCTCTGCCCTCCGTGCCTATTTAAGGGCCCCTGCTGGCTCTCTTTGCTCATTATTTCGTGTGGGTTCTCTTTTCCAGCGGCTCGCGCCGGCGGCCTTCGGCCGCGCGCTCCTGGTGGCAAGGCAGCAAACTGAGGATCGGCTTACAAGGAGGGCACACATAAAACACACGCGCGATAGAAGGGCGACACCAAGTGCTACGGGGATGCAATTCTACACACGGCGGAAGCCTACATCATGTACGGCTCCGCCCCCTCCATCTCCAGCATCGAGCGCATGCACGCCGACATTGCAAGAAGGAGATGCGCCGACGACTGAAGCGTGCCCACGGGGGTACCAACCCGAGCAGCCTCTACAAGATCCCCCACGTGGCGGGGAGGGTACGCGCTAAGGGCGCTACCCCGGCGGGCGCTTCCGACACGGGTGCCAACGGCGACTCGAGCGATTCTGCCAAAGACACGCAGGATCCTCGGGATCCTGGACCGTAACTGCTCGGAAAGTTCCGCGTGGCCGCACACACCGCCAGCTGCAAGTTCGCCACCACCTCGTACGCCTCCGCCACATTCAGAATCCTGCACATGGTCATCATGGAATCTCTCCCCGCGTGACTGGGGAGATGTGCAGTCGGTGCTTCGCGAGGAAACTCCGTCGGCCAGCCAGGAATCCGGCCACCAGAGAGGCGCTGCGCGGAGAAGCCCGGGACTTGACGAGGGATGCGGAACTGAGGCCGCCCCTCCCGCGCGGGCAGATACTCGCGCAACGTCGGCACGCGCAGAGGAGCCACCTGGCCAGGGTCCGCGGCGATGGGAGGGCCGTTGGTCACCTCAATGTGTACATGAGTCGGCTCGCCACTCGCCCGCGCCTGGCGCACAACCTCCGCAAACGCATTCGTGGCTCGATCCAGGGCGGGATCCTGCCCGCGAGCGTTCCCGCCACGCCCACTGCCGTTCCGCCGGCCCCGCCGGCCTCCAGATCCAGCCGAATGCGGACGCGGAGGGGATTGCTCGCAACGACCCGTGTCCCACCGACGCCCAGGCGACCCCCTCCCCCGCGTCGCCGGTGATCGCCGCGGAGAGCGTTGCGCGGGGGATCGCGCTCGGGGTGAGCGCTGGCCTGCCCGACCACGAGGAGATGGACGGCGTGGAGAACGAGGACGCGCAGGGGACCGCTGACCGCCCTCCCTGTGCTGATGAGGTTCGCGTTGCTCAGGAGAAGGCCGGCGAGGAGAGGGCTGCCGAGGAGCCTGACGCGGAGGCGAGCGCCCGCGCTCCTGCCGCGGCTGTCCGTCTGGGCGGTTCGACGCAACACGTGCAGGGGCCCACGAATACTCCGGCGAGGTGGGGCGCGCAGCAGGCCGATGGGGAAGAGTCAGCACCCGCTCGAAGCGGCGGACAGGCTCGCTTGCTGAGGGGTGCGCGAGAAGACGCGGACGAGGCCAGGCTGGTGCAGGCTCCGGCAGCGCGCTCTCCGCGGAACCCTCCAGCTCTGGATCCCGTCGCGCGGATGGGTCCATCACCCCTGATCGCACGGCCGCCGACGCCAGCGCGCCGAAGTAGCGAAAACGAGGCGGTCGCGGCGCCGCAAACAGGGCGTGAGCGAGCTGCAGTAGGAAGAGCCACGCGCGGAATCCGCGTGGGACGACGGGGAATCGAGAGAGGACGAAGAGGTGGCGGAACACGGGGTTCAAACAGGCGCCGCGCCGGTGCAAGCGGCTACGCGAGAAATGCGGAAAGGCTGATGCAAAACGGCGCGGAGGGCGGCGAGGATCCGCTTAGCGAGGAGGCAGACGAGGAAGCAGAGAATGAGGAAAATGATGAGGGTGACCCTGCTTTTAACCCAGAAAGAGAGGGGTTGTTAGGAGCGGAAGCCGAGGAGGATGAGGAGGAGTTGGAACTTCTGCTTCGGGATGGGGAGCTCCACAGACCAATTGTCCGAGGCGACCCTGCCAGCCGAACCACCGTTCAGAACCGAGCCGCGGGGGGAAATCGAGCAAGGAGGGGAAATCGAGCCGCGACAGAGACCGGAGTTGAATCTGCGACAGCCAATGAGAATTCGACAGCCCCAATTTGAACCCCCCCAATGCTCAAACCTGATGACCTGGCGAAAAATACTGACCTGTTCGCCCAAGTCGCTGGCTGGGACGTTGGCCCGCTGCGCGACAGTCGCCAGCCCCCACTCGCTCGCCACCCTCCAAAAGACCTTCGCGAGTCTTTCGCGATTTGTCTGCTGACAGCACTACTCCACCTGGCAGCCAACCCTGAGCCAGAACCAGGCTGGATGTTACTCAACTTCCTCCCGCGTTTACTCCTTCGCTCCTCGTCAGCCCGCAAGCCTGACTGGAGCGCAATGATGAACAGGCTCCTGCGCTTTCGCCAAGGGATCTGGGCCAGCCTCTACGAAGAAGCTGCCGAAGCGATCTCCCTCCCCCCGCAGCCTCGCCACGCACCTGACACAACTGGGACTCTCGCCAGAGCGGAGGGCCTGGCGAAGCGTGGTAACCTCTCCAAATCGTTGCAAACCCTGCAAGCCACGCCCGTGTCGCCTGCCTCACCTGAAGTCCTCAAGGCCCTCAAGATGAGACACCCACCTGCATCCCAACTGCTACCTGATTGGCTGCACGCTGCCACAGCGGAAAGCCCTCCCGCTATCGAAGCCCGCGACTTCAGAAGGATTATCGCCAAGCTCCCCAATGGGGTAGGAGCGGGCCCCTCAGGAACTACTTTCGAACATCTCCGTGATGCAGCCTTAGGAAACGCCGAAGTCTTCACCCACCTCCTTGCCCTCACCAACACGGCTCTAGCGGGGAGGCTGCCGGCCGTTGCGGGAGAGCTACTTACTGCCTCTCGCCTTTTGGCCTTCTCGAAACCGCACGGCGGGACGAGACCGATTGCGGTTGGGGAATGCCTACTACGGATCATCGCCAAAGCTGCTCTTTTCCTGATTGCGCCAGCCGCTAGATCTCACTTCGTCCCCCTTCATTTCGGTGTGGCAGTAGCGGGGGGCATTGAGGCCGCTATACACACGGCACGTACTTACCTGGAGACCCATCCCGCAGCAGTAGCGCTGCAGATCGACCTCGCGAACGCGTTCAACGCGGTCGAGAGGAGAGCGGTGTTCGATGGGTTGAGGAACGAAGCGCTCGAGAGCCTCATTCCCCTGGTCCGCTTATCCTACGGAGTCCCCTCCTCACTCTTCCTCGACCATGAGTTCGCAGCGGCTCCACTGCAAAGCGCCAGGGGGGTCCGCCAAGGAGATCCCCTCGGCCCCCTTCTATTCGCCGCCAGCATCCACCCCTGCTTCTATTCTACCCCGGCTCACCCACAGGTGGTCCTACTCGCCTATGCCGACGACATCACGCTGCTTGGTGATGCGTCTGCCTGCGCCGCGGCATTCGACCACCTCACAGCCGCGCTCACCTCCATGGGACTCCTCCACAACCCTGCTAAGTGCGCGGCTTGGTCCGCCGCCCCAATCGACCCTGCCTCCGTCCCTCCCGGCATCACCATCTCGAGTGACGGGCTGCAAGTCCTCGGCAGCCCCGTCGGCACAACACAAGGCTGCGCCGCGGCAGTCAGGCAGAGACTCTCAACAGCAGCTGAACCACTTCCGCTATTGGCGCAAATGGACCCGCAGCTCTGCCTCCTCCTCCTCACACGCTGCGTCGGCCGCCGCGCCTCCTTCCTGGCACGGACAACCCCGCGGGAGGTTCTGCCCGCAGCAGAATGGTCAGCTTGGGGGGAGCGGCTCCTCCACGTGTTCCTAGACGCCGCCCACATTGTCGCGCCAAGGGGCAACGCGGAACGGAGACGTATCTGGCGACAGGCCGCGCTCCCCATTACCTTGGGGGGTTTGGGCATCACCGATCCGGCCGTGGAAGGGAGTTACGCGTACCTCGCGTCGGTGTTCGGCACGGCCCACCTCCTGCACTCGCTAGCCGATTCCCTACACCCCGCCATAGCCGCACTGCTCCCCCTTATGGACTCCGTCCCTGACTCCGCCGCAGCCCTGCCCTCGCGCCTAGCTGCGGCTGAAGCGGCCCTGCCTCCAGACGGCCTAGAGGCCCTTCGGGCTGGTAAAAGTGACCCCAAGGGACTGAAGCTCCAGCAGGCCCTGGCCCTGGCGGTCCACACCCGCCTCTACCTCCGAGTGCTGAACACGGCGCGGCGGATGCGCCCAAATCCCCTCTCAGGGCACGCCCAGCGGATGCAGTCCCTGCTGGGCCCGGGAGCAGGGGACTGGCTGCTGGCAATCCCCCTCTCCTCTGCGCTAAGACTGGGCCCCTCCCAACACTCTACTGCATCCGCCTTCCGCCTTGGCCTCCCCCTCCCTGTCCCGAGGCGGTGCGACTGCCGATACCACACCGCCTTCCCTGATGACCGCCTCCCGAACCACCTAATGCGCTGCGAGAAGGGGAAGGGGAGGACTGCCACACACCATGCTCTCAGGGATGAAATCGCAAGGATAGGGGCGGAAGCAGGCTTCACGGTTCACAAGGAGACCTACGCCTATTCTCTGGTTGAAAACCTTAAAGCGGATGTTTCCATCCGCCATCCCCTGACCGGAGAAGTTTGGCTTTGTGATGTGACCGTGACCGACCCGGTGTCCTACCAGGACGAGACCTGCAACCGCACACCTGGCTGGGCGGCTAGGGCGGCAGCTGCACGGAAGGAGGAGAAGTATGCGGGGCGGAACGCGTGGGTGGGGTTCCACGCCTTGGCCGTGGAGACCTACGGCTACCCGTCGCAGGGGGTGCTGGCGTACCTTCGGCAGTGCGCGGAGCTGGCCGCAAAGCTCCGCTACAACGCGGCACCTACCTCTCGAGAGGCTGCCAAACTGCTGACGGAGTACCGCCAGCGCTGGAGCGTGTGCCTCCAGAGGGCGCAGGCGAACGCCCTCCGCACCAAGACCAACGAGGCCCTGGAGGCGGACGAGCTCAGCCTGCAAGGGCCGTGGGCCCCCCTCAACGAGTGGCAGCTGCACCAGCTGATCGAGCCCCCGCCCGACCACTAGGGTCGGACCGAGGGGGGCGGGGGGAGGGTAGGAGGTTTGAGTAGGCGGTAGGTTTCTGGTTGGGCTGCCTGTTTGCTTGTGTTTGCTTGGGTCTGCAACTTCCCTTGTACAACCCCCCCCTATTAATGCAAGGACCATTCGAGAGAGAGAGAGAGAGAGAGAGAGAGAGAGAGAGAGAGAGAGAGAGAGAGAGAGAGAGAGAGAGAGAGAGAGAGAGAGAGAGAGACTACAAGGGAGAGGAAGAACAAAAGCATGCGTGCCATAACAGTGACCATCTTTCTCCTCGCAGTTTTCCAGCTCCCCAGCACACCCCCTTTCTCTGAGTCGACTCAGCTTCGCTCTCCCTGTTCCCTCCCTTCCTTCCCCCCCCCCCCCCCCCCCCCCCCCCCCCCCCCCCGCCTCAGCCGACACTCCCCCAGGAGCACAAAGCATACGCGCTGCACTCCCCAATCCCTCCACCCCTCGCAACCCCTCCCCACACCCCCCTTCTCCCTCCCTCCAGGCCGAGCAAGCGAAGCAGCGCCTAGCAGACGCCCCTCACCTGCACCGGCTGGCCTCCTCCTTGGCATCGCAGCACCTGGGGGGCGGGCGGTACGTTGCAGCGCACTGGCGGATAAAGAAGGCCATGATAAGCCGCCGGTCGCCCGTGCAGATGCACCAGTGTGTGCAGGGGCTGCTGAGAGACACGGCCGTGTGGCCGCTGCAGGAGAGGGAGTGAGGGGCGATGCTGGGAGAGGGCGGAGGGAGTGGAGGAAGGGGAGGGGGGGAGAAGGGGAAGCGGGAGAAGGGGAGAAGGTACCGGTGTTCATGGCTACGGATCTGACTCCAGAGAGCAAGTGAGCAGTGGGGGCAGAAGGAGGTGCCTTTTGAGTCGACTCAAAGTCACCTCGGGATTGGAGGAAGAGTAGGGAAAGGGCCAAGGTGCCGGTGTTTATGGCTACGGATCTGACTCCAGAGAACAAGTGAGAAGTGGGGACAGAAATGAAGCAACGTGTGAATGAGTTTTTTATTGTTAAGCTGGGTCGGGGAGGGAAAGCGGGGTGAGGGGCAGGGCGGGTGCAGAACGGAAGCTAGGTAGCCTTGATTTTCATCAGCTTTTTTGCCATCGACCGCCCTCTCTTCCTTCCCGCCTCTCTCCCTTGCTCCATCTCCCTCCCTCCCTCCCTCCCTCCCTCCCTCCCTCCCTCCCTCCCTCCCTCCCTCCCTCCTTCCCTCTTCCCCGCACACACATCGCCCGTGGTGCCACCAGGTGGCTATCAAGCACGGCACGATTCGACCAGCACCACACCGTAATATACTCCGTTAAGGTCAGAGAGAGCTACCTCCCTTCTATTGCACACGGTTTCTGAGCGTTCTCAGGAAGCCGCCAGGCACAGCAGATTTTGACCAGCACCATCAAGACATCGCAATTTAAGCCGTTGAGGTCAGAGAGAGCTCCCTCCCTTCACCATGCCGCGCTCCTCCATGCACGCTCCATCCCCGACCCACCCCCCTTCCAACAGCACGCAGGGTTGGGCTGGATTGGATTTGAAGGGTCACCCTACTCTTAGAGTCCCATGCCATCTTCTTCAGCAACATTTTTCGTCGCTTTCAGCATGAATCAAGCTACTGTCCCCCTCGTTCCCTCTTCTGTCCCTTGTCCACTCTCCTCTCTCTCGTCCTTGCCCTGGTCCCACCCGGTCTCACCCGGTCTTACCCGATCTCACCCGGACCCACCCGTCCCAACCCATCACCCCTCCCAGCCACCGCAGGAGCTCTATTCCCTGCTCAAGCCCACTCGGCTCGAGTCCTTACTCCCCGGTTTGAGAGAGGCGGATCTTGGAGTGCAGGTACGGCACGCCTCTCCTCGCTCTCCCATACAGCTGTAATACGGTACTTCATTTGTGTGTTGTAACGCTTCAATCGAAGCTGACTTGTGCTGCCTGGTGTGAGTGACATTGGAGAGGCGTCATGGGTACTCCACCACACTCATGGAGTGCAGGTGTGCTCCTTCCATACGGCATTCCACTTGTGCAGGTAGGTACAGCGTTGTGACACTCGGCAACGAATCTGACTTGTGCTGCGTGCCCGAAAACAAAGCATATAGATGTTGTTACACCCTGGAGACAGATCTAATAACCCGTACCAGAGACAGTGTTCCTGTACCTGCCACTCAACTGCAGGAACTCATATCCTCATGGATTCGCACTCCCCTTTCCTACCCCCTCAACCCCTCTTTCTCTCCCAACACCAGGCCATGTTGGACAAGCTACTGTGTGTTAAGGCGACAGTGTTCCTGTACCCGCCACTCAACTGCAGAAACTATGCGCCCATGAGATCTGCTGGTGGTAGATCCGCCAGTCGCAGATGAGATCTGCTGGTGGTACGAGCAGCTAGCGCAGCAGCGGAGCGGGAGCAGCGGAGGGAAAGGTCGAACCGTTAGCAGGATGTGGGGGGCTGATGTTGTTTCGGCAGTAGGGGAAGGAGGACGGGGGAAGAAGTGGCGGGACAGGGTGTGGGGGGGAGGGGCTGTTGATTTGGCAGCAGTAGGGGGGTGGGAGCAGGGGAAGAAGTGGTCACACGGGATGTTGATGTCTTAATTCGGCTGGAAAGCTGTCATAACATCACCAACCCCAACAATTTGGCTACTGCTCTGGTAGATACGGTGTTTAACATGTTGTAACCCACCAAGGTCTGATCTGCAACAAGGCTTACGGCAAAATCTTGCAGCGGACTATCCACAGAAAACATCTCCAAGCTCAAAGGGTACAACCCACACACTACCTATCGTAGAAATTTGAATTAGCAAACACACTAAGAGAGTATCCTACCATAGTCAACGTTGAATCCACTCGTTAGCACGAATATTTGTCTGATCCAGGTCAATACGGATTGACACAGCCTGCACAAAATTGAGTCGCCAGCAAAATTAGTCCCGCGAGAAATCTGACAGACGCCAGCAATATTGAGGTGCAATATACCAGAAGGTACCGTACCCTTCTCACCTTGCCTGTGCGAGGCCTTTCCTTGGTGGCAGCCAGGCCTGCCCTGACCAACCCCACAGCCCCCCAGCACCTCAAATTCTCTGCAACTCTGTCCAGCCGATACAAGTACTCCTCCTTCGTCAGAGGAAAGGATTTCTGGTACACGAAAAAGCAAACGCGGCAAATGAAGGGGAAAAGAATGCCAGGAATTGTTAAGGTGGTAACCTTCTCCTTGGAGGGAGAGAAAGGGATTGGCAGCGAAAAGAAAAAAGAAAAAGAAAAAAAAAAAAACACACACACACACACACACACACACACCAGAAAGGGGGTCGGGAAAAGCTAAGGGGGAGAGAGGGAGGGATAGAGGCTGGAAGCAGGGGTGGTAGAGGATTGATGCTGAACATGAACTTGAAATGCTTCTACCACAAGCGGCAGCAACGAACCTGCTCTCGGTACTTCCACATGACGTTCATGGCTAGCAGTTGACGGCCCAAGAATTCCTATCAGCAAAGGCAAGGGGAGCAAGGCAACGCAGGACACGGATGGAGACAGGTTAAATACCGTGATTGTGCGGCGCTCATGGGAGACTGACAAAGCGCTCAAGGGTGGAGCAAACGAATTGCACGAGAGGGTTGCGCGAGAACCAACCATCCAGCTAATTTCTTTCACCCGCAAGCAGCGACTACGCAGGAAACCGATCCCTAGCATGAGCGCCTTCCCTTCTGAATGAGCTGCACGGCGTACGAGCGCGAATGTTTTTGGTGTATCAGCGCCGCCAGCTGCTTGAAATGAGACGAGATTTGCGTCGAGTCAGCACATGAGCAGCTCACCTTTCGAATGAGCTGCACGTCGTACGAGCGCGAGTACTTTTGGTAGATCAGCGCCGCCAGTTGCTTGCCGTCGAAGCTGTCGTCGTCTCGGTTCACGAGGCCCTCCATGCGCTGCCGGAATTCGTCAGAGTCCGACCCGGAACCCTGGGGTGGGGAATCATCACGAGGATCACGAGGTTGATACGATACACAAGGTACAGAATGTTTCTGTTGCTCGTCCCTGGGAATAATATGGGTGCAAGTCCGCAGTTAGGTAGAGTGACTACTCATGACAGGGTGGATTCGACGCCTGTAACTGCGAAGAGACAAGTTACCTCGCCACGTCCAAATCGATCCTCGCCGTCGTTGGTGCTCCCTTCGCCTGCCTTCGCGTAGCATTTTAGCCTTCGTGAAACGCATCCCGACACTGTTTTTGTAGAATCCACCCGGAAATGCCGGCCTCTCAAGATGGATGATTGTTGTTGAAGCACCAACTGGCGAGGTATTTGAGGAACGGAACACGGACCGTCCGATCCGGAAAGGCATCTGTTTAACGAGCCTGGCGAGGCAAATCCTACGGCACTTCGCACTGTATTCCTGCAATTTACAGGCTTCACATGTAGGGAGCTGGCAAGAGGAACTGCACTGGAACGTACTACGGCCTCCATAGCGGAAAAGTGACAGATTAGCACACCCGCGAGGTAATGGAATCCAACACTCCGTGCACTCCGCGAAAATCGTTGTGTTGAAAAAACACTAATTCCGGAATCGCGCACTAACGTGAATCACGTAGGAGTCTCGGTCCTAGTCGCTGGGACGGAGCACTCCAAAGAGACTGAGGAGCTGGGAGTGAGTGACGAGGAGCAGTCAGGGGAAAACTTTCTCTGAGTAGCTGGGTGGGTGTATGCATGCTGCACACGGGCGAGCAGCACAGCACAGCCCCTGTGTGTGTGTCTTCGTTTCGTCTCGCCTTGCCTGCCGCTCGTCGCGCCATTCGGTGGGTGAAGTCGTGGCATGCTGTGACTCGCCCACACAGCATCTCCGTGTCATGCTTGTGATCTCCCTGTCTTGTCCCCTCTTTCGTTCCCTCTCCTCCCCCATCGCCGCCTGGTGCCCATTCGCTGGAATTCTGTATCGTTCTTCCACATGCCCAGATTCATCAGTCCCTTTCCTACACTCGAGATTGCATTCCCAAATTTCCTAGCGAGTGTGACTGCATAGGGGCTGCAGCGGAACGAGAGGCGCTTGTATTGGCGACGTCAGACTTGCAAACACTTGTACTGGAATCACGTGCTGCCGCGTGGAATTTGGAAAGGAGACACGTGGAGACGAAAAGGTTGCCCATGTTTGCTTGGCGCGCAATTCTCTTAAAGAAGCCTTCCAGGATAATAATAATAATAATAATCGTGCAAATAATATTACCTACACCGTATCACCCCGAATAGTAGTTCATATGCGCTTATAATAACAACAGTTTTTTTAAGGGGGGCGCTTGTGATTGAGTATCGGCCATAAGCGCCAGCTCTTATATAATGGCAAATACAGAAATCTTAAACACACCAAATTGTACATTCCAGTCTCGTAAGTTCAATCGAATCGAAATTTTACAGCGGAATCGCGCGAGGGCGATTCTCTGACGGTGCACAGAGCTTCGGCACGTCAATTTGCCCGCGTGCCAGCTCATCCTAACTGGACGCGCAACCAGTGAGGCCCTCGAAAGTCAAACAAAGTGAAAATGGGTGCTGACTCTCTTGAAAAATGAAATTCGTTACCGTTTTAATCAGGATTGGGAAAAAAAATATCCATGCGCTTATAATAAATCAGAGTTTTACAGGGGGTGCTTATAATCAAGTTCCGGCCATAAGCTTCATGTTCCAAATAGAAGCGCCAACGCCTATATCCGGGGCATGGCTGATTTTATCAGAGTAATTGCCCTGATTTCAGGGTGATTACAGGCATGGCTGATTTTATCAGGGTAATTACCCTGATTTCAGGGTGATTACAGGCTTGTCACTTGGTGGTCCCTGCCATTTCAGAATTTGTGACTTGTAAACTCTGATCCATTGATATAAGGACTTTAGCGAACCCTGAAATATTGAATCCAGGCTCAGAGTAGTGTTCTTACTGACTCTGTCAATGTAGAATACGCGTCCTGTTGACCCTGAATGAGAGGGTATCGGGACGAAGGTTCCTGGAAATTTCCTTCCGATATCCCCTTTCGGATTGATCGTGGTACAGCCAGCGCGTGAGCGACGCACAGCAGCATATCTAACATGTGAGTACACTCAATACCGTATTCCCCCGGACATACCACCCGCCGAAATAGAGCACCCCCCGGGTGGCTTGTGCGGGGGGGGTGCTATAGCGGGCCTCGTTTCTACTATACCCACATCTGACGCAATACAGCAATAACTCTCCCATCATACAGTCATTCCTTCATTCAACAGCGAGGCAGCTGAGGCTGTTGCGGGCGCTCCGCCTTTGTGACTGCATGAACCCTCGTCGAGCGACGAGGGGGTGTGTTTTCGACCAATCAGGGCCTGGCCGTGGGCCTTGTTGGAGCTTGCAATGTGGAAGCTAACCCTCGACAGTAACGTTATCGCCCAGTCCTCGGTTTTGCGCACCCAACCAACAATCTACCACCACGTGAAACATGTACATTTTGTTCTCAACCTTTTATGCTATAAAAAAAAATATACATTATGTAAAGACCCGGGTGCAATGTAGCTTTTTCCGATGACAACACCCCCTCCCCTTTTTTTTGTGTAGTTATCATAGCACCCTAGGGTGGTATGTCCGGGGGAATACGGTATATGATATGTTTACGCATTACGAATAGGTCGTTGTACTGTCGTAATTGCGTGTGCGTGAAGTTACCAGACATTTTTAGTATTTTGCACAGCGATGCTGGCGACATTCGGGTACTTGGCGAATTAAAAACTTGGCACATCTGTGGTATCGAATCGAAATGTTTGGTTGACCGAAATCGCTCGTCTCTTCCCCGCACTAAAACGCATGGGTAAATACTGTTTTGTAAATCTAAAAGGGTGAAAATTAGCGCGCACAAGGTGTGCGCGAAACACAGAGCGCAGACTTGACGCAAAGCGAGACTTTTTCCCCGGCAAAAAATGGTGCGTTACTACTCTGATCTTCGATTTTCGACCCTGAACAATCAGAGTTGCATACTTTTCAACCATGAGCAGTCAGGGTAGCATCATTCTGAAAAATGTGCACTCATAATAGAGGAGAAAATTTTCCCCCGGAATCAGGGAGGCCCAATATGAAACGTCAGCCCTGATTACAGGCTTCTCACCTGGTGGTCCCTGCAATTTCAGAATTTCTGACTTGTGAACACTGATCCATTCAGAATAGTGCTTTAGCGAACCCTGAAATATTGTATCTAGGCTCAGAGTCGTGGTTTTACTAACTCTATCAATGTAGAGTACGCGTTCTATGGACTCTGAATTTGACCTGATCGGAAGGAAGTTTCTCTGAACTTTCCTTCCGATAACCCCGCCTTCGGATTGGTCGCAGTACAGCCAGAGCGTGAGCAGCGCGCGGCAACATGTCTGACAGGTGAATACACTCTACGCATGTTAGTTTCACAGAATTCGAAAATGTCAGTTGTATTGTCGCAATTGCGTGTGCGTGAAGTTACCAACACATTTTTTGCGTTTCGCACAATGAAGTTGGCGAATCGCGGGTAATCAGCGAATAGGAAATCTTGGCACATCTATGGTACCGAACTGTTTGGTGGACCGAAATTGCTCATTTCTTCCCCACCATTTTTCGAAAGTAAAGGGTGAGAAAGTAAAGCGCACAAGGTGTGCACGAAATGATGTCGCGTTGTGTTGGAATCATGCGGAGTGAAACTTTTGTCCCCGTTAAACACAGTGCGCGTTACTACATTGATGTTAAATTCTCGACCCTGAGCAATCAGAGTTAACTACTTTTCAACACTGAGCAATCAGAGTAGCCTACCTGTGGAAAATATGCACCCATAATACAGGGGGGAAATTTTCCCTGGAATCAGGGAGGCATAAAATGAAACGTCAGTCCTGATCCGGGGCCATACAGTAGTATGGTTGTTTGAATATGCTGGACCAAGGCCCAAAATTCAAGGGTAAAATACCATTTTGCCCTTGCTATGAGCCGCTTTTCCAAGAATGCCCTGATTTTACCTAAGGACCCTGACTAAGAAAGTGTAGTTTTATTTTTACACTTCAAATTGTAGGCCTTCGCAAGTTTTTCCCTGATTCGTGAGGGTACTTTCAGAAGTACACTGAAACAGATGCCTGTTGGAAACGTATAGTTTGCGCTTCTGGAATACCAAGCACTATGACAAGAACGAAGCAGACTCACAACAAAGCAACGCCGAGTCAACCGAGCTACAGCGAAGCGGTTGACAAAAGCGACAACAGTGGGAAGTTAAAGCGAAGGTCAAAGGTCAGCGACCTTTGACTTGACAAAAAGCACGACAGCAAGGACGAATAACTGATTCGTTATGGAGCAGTTACCCGAGTCTCCGCTGTATCGAACCACACTATCGAACCCGAGAAGTTGCAATTATAGTTAAACACATAGCGGTTTAATATCTGATGTTCTTGTAATCTTATCTAAACCTTGTATCCACGCTCTTACTCGCTTGGTAATAGGTCCAAACGCACACATCGACGTGACCCAACTGAAGAAAAACGCTCAAAATGAGCATTTTCAGCCTCAAAACGCGGAAGGATCCGCACATGTGCAGAAAATGCAGCAGACATTTTTCATTCGCAAGCACCAATGACCGATCATGTTTGCCACCCTCCCACGCTCTTGCTGGCTTGGTAATAGGTCCGAACGCACACAGCCACGTGAGCCAGCGGAAGAAAAACGCTCGAAACGAGCAATTTCAACCCCAAAAGGCGGGAGAATCCGCATATGTGAAGAAAATGCAGCATGCATATCTTATTCGCGAGCACCAATGACCGATCATGCTCGCCACCCTCACACGCTCTTATCGGCTTGGTAATAGGTCCAAACGCACACAGCCACGTGACCCAACAAAAGAAAAATGCTCGGAACGAGCGATTTCAGCCCCAAAAGGCGGGAGAATCCACACATGTGCAGAAAATGCAGCAGACATTTTCATTCGCGAGTACCAATGACCGATCATTCTTGCCACCCTCCCACGCTCTTGCTGGCTTGGTCATAGTTCCAAACGCACACAACCAACATGACCCAATGGAAGAAAAACGCCCAGAACGAATGTTTTCAGCCTCAAAACGCGGAAGAATCCACACATGTGCAGAAAATGTAGCAGGCATCTTTTTTCCACGAGCACCAATGACCGATCATGCTCCTCACCCTCCCACGCTCTTATTGGCTTGGTAATAGGCCCGAACACATACAACCACGTAACCCAAGGGAAGAAAAACGCTCGGAACAAGCGAGTTCAGCCCCAAAAGGTGGGAGAATCCTCACATGTGCAGAAATGCAGCAAGCATCTTTTATTCGCGAGCACCAGTGACCGATCATGTTTGCCACCCTCCCACGCTCTTGCT